TGGCGCCATCTCTATACACGAAATCCAAGTAATAGAACTTTTCAAGTTACGAAATAATCGCACATCGAATTGCGTTTCTTAAAAAATTGTTTGTAAACACTTTACTTGATTTTTCATAATTTAAAAAAACCTAAATAATATAATAAAAATATAGAATTTTTTTATATAGATAAATAAAATTTAATTTAGAATTAAAACATAATATATCATATGAATTGTGTATAGAATAGTGTGATTACATTGATATCTCTACAATGTACGTATTACGTATTGGAAAATCTCCAACATATATAGCGTACAAGTGAATAGAGCGAAATGTCAAAATTGTTTTACTGTTTGTAGTTTAATGTTGCGACGGAAAAAAATAATGGTAAGTATTATTATTATGTGTGATTGTTACAAAGCATTTTATTGAATTTTATTGGTTTTAATCGTTCATGTTTTTTTTTTGTGTATTAAACCGACTAAATCAGCCTTACTTTTGCAAAGATTGCAACGATATCGTTCAAATATGCAACAAAATTGAATCGATGTGCAAGAATGATCGGAAAAGACACGGGCGCATCTACACTCATAATATCCCTCGCTAATGAAGCGTTACAATTTGCTGAAAACACCGAAGACGCCGAAGCCTTAAATCCTGGTCGAGATTTATTGGATTTAGTCGAAATGTTGACGTCTAATCAGTCTATTGCGTTTGAAAATGTTTTGAATCAAACCGATCAAACCGCAGTTAATGCGAAAATCAAAGTTGATTTCAATTTCCAAAAGAACATATTAAGCGCCATTCCACCGATCCCACCTAAAAATAATGACGAAAGGCATCAACAGACAAGAGAGAATTTACCGATTTTCAAATCCCGTCATCAAATTATCGACACTATCAATCGAAATCAAGTGGTCGTTATATCAAGTCAAACAGGTTAGAATGTCTGCCATTTTCATTTTTTTATTGAGATTTTTTTTTTGATTTTCGTATGGATCTCAATAGGTTCGGGCAAAACCACTCAAATACCTCAGTATATCATGGAGGATTCTTTATTGCGCCAACAAAATTGTCGAATATATTGTACACAACCTCGTCGATTAGCCGCTACTTCAATCGCAAAAAGAGTTGCGCTAGAACGAGGAGAAGATATTGGACACTCAATCGGATACCAAATTCGTATGGAAAGTTGTATTTCTCCGATTACCAATTTGATCTATACGACAAGGTGATTGAATTCAAGTTGTATAGTTAAACTAGTAGCAAATTTGATAGAAATTCTAACAATTTAACTTTTTTCAGTGGATATTTATTGCGATATTTAATCGGATCGAAGAAACTTGTGTTCAAAAGTATCACACACTTGATATTGGACGAGGTTCATGAAAGGGAAAAAGTAACCGATTTCTTGATGATTTTTATTCGTGATGTTCTCAAATCAAATCCACACATGAAAGTCATCTTAATGTCTGCCACTCTTGACTCGGACATATTTTGTCAATACTTTGGCAATTGTCCAGTGATTAATGTTCCCGGCAACGTCAAATTGAAACCATGCACCTCGGTGAAGTTCTCATCAAGACCGGATACAAAACCAAAGAAATGGCTTCCTACATGATCAATGTTCCCGTACCAAATGTTATTGATGATGGTAAGTGTAACAACGACAACAAACCTTATAATTAGCGCTATAATAGCGAATTGATTTATGTATTTTTTAGAAATTGTGCAAAGTACACCAGCCACACCAGCTGGAGAATGGCCACAAACGCCACAATTACTTCAGCACGCATATTATATGACGTTTGGCCGACGTAATCAAATTGATCATGAGTTGTTATACCATGTCATTCATCATATTCACATGGACCAACCACTTGATGGTAGTATATTGGTATTTTTACCTGGATATGACGACATCATTGTACAAAAGGAAAAAATTGATTCATTTTGCCGGTCAATAAGAATTTGTAAACATTAATTAATATCATTTTTTTTTTAAAGATTGAAACGCAAACATACTGAACATACTGCGAATGTTTTAAATTAGTGTTTTCGGAAAACAACAAACTTATCGATTTAATGTAATGATAGTTGAAATTCAGTGTATTTAAGCCAAATTTCTATTTATTAGAAAATAGTAAGGAAGAATGTATGTATTACAAAATAGTTGTAAGAAAAATAAAAAGGAAACTTATTGGTAAACAATGTTTTTTTTTTTAGTTTTGTTTGTTTTAGAATACAAAGAAAAAGTCGAATTTTAATCGCAAATTTGCGTTAATCGTTGTTAGATTCTACATCGCCATTGTATCCGTTAACAGAACAGTCAGAACGTAGCTCAATATCCTTTTCAAATGTATCAGATCCATAAGATCCAATCGATTCTACAGCAACATTGTGGTAACGCGATAAATCAACCAAAGGTGCCCGGTTATAAATTGGATTGTTTGAATCCCAACTATTCGAACTCAGCGAACTCAGCACATCATTTTCATCTAATTCAATACGATAACGCGATAAATCAACCAAAGGTGCACGATTATAAGTTGGATTGTTTGAATCCCAGCTACTTTCGCCTAATAGATTGGAATACACAGAATATACCAATTAATAAAATTGCAAAATTTGCTGTTTAAGCGCTAAATAAAATGGCTTTTACCGTTTTCGTCTAGGTTTTCGTCATTGACAACAATTTCAGCATCTCC